AGAGAAGCTGTTTGCTCTAGCTTTGCGGGATGAAAGCACAGACTTGGTGAGAAAGGGGAGAGATGCTTCAACCCTCCTCGCTCACACAAAGGGACCGCCGCCTAGTTCTTCCCACCTTGGCAGCTCGCAGGCATTTCTTTGGCGTTCCTCCTGTTTGGATTTTCATGGATGTGGAGCACAGTGACCCATCTCATCTAAATCCAAGCTCTTTCCCCCCCTTCTGTGCCCATCCAACTGGCTGCCCCCTCCCCAGCCCCCCGCAGGCCCAGTTCTGCCAGGTCCATGCCCAGCCAAAAAGATTCTGGAACCCCCTTCCCTGCTGTCCAGGGATGTGGGTGCCCATGGAGAGGGAGGGGCCTTTGGCAGCCCCCCTCCCCAGCCCATCCAGCACCCCGACCCTGAGTCCTCAGCATGCTGCCTATTGTATGATCGCAGGCTTTCGACTACGTGTCTCTATATATTCTTTCTTCTGACTGTAAAACTGATATGTGTCTATTGTGGGAAATTTGGAAAATACACAAAATGACAAAGAAGAGAGTAACAGATAGCTAGTGTTAACCATTTTGGCATGTTAAATTCGTGCTGTGACTGCATTTCTAATTTTCTTGCTTGTTTTTTAAAAATTTTTATTGAAAGTATAGTTGATTTACAATGTTGTGCTTAATTTCTACTGTACAGCAAAGTGATTCAGTTACACATATATGTTCTTTTTCATATTCTTTTCCATTATGATTTATCACAGAATATTGACTCTAGTTCCCAGTCTTGCTTCTGTTTTTGACGAGGTTTTCTCAACTTTGCCTTCTGAGCTGTCTATTGAAGTTAAAATTTCTTCAGTCACGTTCTTAACTTCTTAGAAAGTGAAAGTCACTCAGTCGCGTCCAGCTCTTTGCAACCCCATGGATTACACAGTCCATGGAATTCTCCAGGCCAGAAAACTGGAGTGGATTGCTTTTCCCTTCTGCAGGGGATCTTCCCAACCCAGGGATTGAACTCAGGTCTCCCGCAGTGCAGGTGGATTCTTTACCAGCTGAGCCCCCAGGGAAGCCCCCTTTATCTTTTGCCCTCTCTTTTTTCCTTTTATTGTTGTTGTTTTGTTAGCATCCAGCCTTATTTATCAGATGTGGTATTTTTCTATTTTTCTATGATTTCTTTTGCTGTTTCCTTATAATTATTTTCTTCCTCTGCCCGTGGAATTCTCCAGACAAGCATACTGGAGAGGGTAACCATTCCCTTCGCTAAGGGATCTTCCTGACCCAGGGATCAAACCCAGGTCCCCTGCATTCCTCTGAGCTACCAGGAAAGCCCTTTCTTTTCTACCTTTCTATTAAAGGCTTTTCTCCTGTTCTGGTGACTGTGTGTGGTGATCCTTGCCTGTCTGTCCATAGTTAAGAGGGAGGCACTAAAATGCAAGTGGAAGCTCTGGGTGCAGAGCTGGTGTTTCTCATAGATGATGACTGGGTGGTGATCTGGTCATTCTCGTGGCAGTTCCCAGTTGTCAGTATCCATGGACCTTTCCTCTTGGGCACAGTCCTCAAGGGGGAATCTTCAAATCCTCTACTGGGGGCAGGACCGTGTGTGGAGGACAGGCTGGGGCATAAGTCCAGCTGTCAAGAGTCTGAATCAGGTGAGAACAGGGGACTGGTGTCTCATCAAACCTTCCCTTCACCCCCTCTTTTCAGCAGGGTCTTTGCTGTGCCTGGGGCTGTTGAACCACAACCTGGTTCACTTTTATCACAAGTGAACTTGATTCCAGTCTTCTCCCAGGTCAGTTTCCCAGGCACACAAGACGGGGGCGGGGAAGGATATCTGGTTTGCCTGGGACCATCTTGGTTTTAGCATCAAAATTCCTACATCTCAGGAAAACCTTCAGGCCCAGGTGAGCGGGACAGCTGGTGGGCTTACTGTCCTTTTTCTGACTTTTCTACCTGTCCTCTGTCTTCAGCCTCATCTGAGCCTCTGGTCTTCAGTCATCCTTGGTCCATCTGAATCCTGGTTCTGACTTGGCTTCTGTAGGGGGACCTGACTTGCTTCTTGTTGTAGATCCTCCTCCCCACCCCTTGAATCAATTGGATTTTAGCTCTCTGGTGTGCTAAGTCAGTTACCACCGATATAGCAACTTCCTGTCTTCCAACGTTTTGTTGACATCCCTCACTGACCTGCTTTTTTGTTCTTATGAGTTTTAAACTATTTTGTTCTCTTACCATCATTTAGGTCGAGTTCCTAAAACCGGTTTCCCTTCTCCTTTTCAGTGGCAAGAACCTCCACACATCCACTTAAGTTGCCATCCACTGGCTTCCCAACTCTAAGGGTGACCAACATCCCTTCCCCATTCCCATTCTCCACTTCCAATATTTCACGATACTAAGTCTCTTCTAAAACTAAGTTTCTTCCAAGAACTAAAGTTGTTGAATTTTAGTTCTATATTTAAGTGGATCCAATCTCTGCCACTGATGCTTCCCCCGTATTTCTTTCTCTTGTGGTTTTTTATTTGAACTGACTGATTTCAATGACAAGTCAGTTTTTCCAGGGTTCAGGTTTCTCTAGTCATGGAGTTTCATCATGTTTGAGACTATCTCCTGTTACAGTTATATTCAAATATTAATAGCATCTTTTCAGATTATAATTCTCCTGGCTACTCTAGAGCCCTGGAACTATTTCTCTGACACTTTCTGGCATTGAATATGGCTGCCAACAAGTCTTTGGTCAGCTAGATATTTTTTTCTCTCTGTGGGTGGTTTGCTTTTTCTATCTTGACCTTCAAAGAACTCATTTTTATTCTTGATGTTCTAGAGTGTAAACAGGCAGTGTTTCTTTGTTGATGGCACTGAATTAAGTTTTTCTGGAACTCTGCGTGTATATATATACATATGTGTGTGTGTGTGTGTGTGTGTGTGTGTGTGTATATGTGTGTGTGTTAGTGTGTGAGTATATATATGTGTGTGTGTTTGTGTGTGTGTGTGAGTGTATATGTGTGTGTGTGTGAGTATATATGTGTGTGTGTGTGTGTGTGTGTGTATAAAATGAACCTGTTAGTTGTGTCCAGCACTTTTTGACCCCATAGACTGTAGCCGACTAGGCTCCTCTGTCCATGGAATTATCCAGGCAAGAATACTGGAGTGAGTAGCCATTCCCTTCTCCAGAGGATCTTCCCAACCTGGGGATTGAACACAGGTCTCTTGCATTGCAGGCAGATTCTTTACTATCTGAGCCACCAGGGAATCCTTATATTATATATATAATGCACATAGGTATTTAAGAGAACTTTTCTTGTATTATTTCTTTAAATGCATCTTCTGCTCTATTGTTGGGTTGTTTGCTCTGGGGCACACATTTATTAGGTTGTACTATTTTTATCTGCTTTCTCTACTAACTTATCTTTAATACTTTGATCTCTGTTTCATCTGCACTCACTGATTTTCTCAAGCTTTTCCATCACACTAACAGTTTTGGTTTGAAGTGTGTCTTCTGTTCCTTGTTGTTTAAGAAGTTTGGACTCTTGTAGCAGTGTTTTTGCTTCAGTCTTTCCCCTTAGGTCTCAGCAATCTCCCTCTTCATCCCTTCGCATTGTGTTATTATCTTGTCTTTCTGCTTTTGTTTTATTAAGTTGCCATGCTCATGTTCAATAATGAGGAATTTCCTTTTCTTTCCAGAAAAGTTGCGCTTCCCTGCAGGCCAGGATCTTTTTTTTCGGTCGTTCTCTCCTTTCCTGTCCCCTTTCCCCCAAGGACTGCTGCCCAGGTGCCGTGTTAATATTGTCAAGTTTCCTCCTTTGAGGCAGCCCTGCCCGGATGTCGTGTGCTGTGTTGGGATGCACTCGGGAAATACCTGTGGGTATGTGGGTGACCCCTGGCTCCTTTCCCAGTGTGTTTGAGATCAGTTTATTTTTCAAGCTGCAGTCTGAGGGTGTGTGGAGTTCTGTCCACTTTTCTATAGCTATGGGTTGGTTGGGAGCGGGGGACAACTCAGCTGAGGGAGCAGGAGGTCTTTCTCAAGACATGGGGGCTCCACTGCATGATCGGTGCTCACCCCAGCCCACGGCAGGGGCTGACGTGCTGGTAGACAGTCTAAGCTCCAAGACTGGACCCCTCACGGGCCCCCACTCCCACCCCTCCGACCTCAGGGGCCATAGCACCCCTCACTCCATATCCTGTGGGACTCGTGCACCGCTCTGAAACCCGCAGTCCCATGAGGACCATGCACGGGTCACAAGGGGGTTGGAGAGAAATGGGTGCCCATCCCTGGCCCATTGGGCCAGCCTGACGACAGAGGGGAATGGTCTCCTTAGGTATCTCCATCATCACAGACTCCGACCACCCAGAACAGAGTCAGATGTGGCAAATTCCCCCTCCCACTGCTCCTCTGAAAGTGGACACTGGAGTTGATGCCTCTTCTCCTGGGAGCTGATTCCAGACACTCAAAGGGGATGGCATTTCTCCTTAGCTCCTCTCCTCGCTCACCTGCTTTTGTCTCCTCCACACACAGAGAGGTCTGGCCGTGAGTGCCTGTTCCTGTGTCCATTCATCCCTCCTCGTGCAGGCCCTGCATGCTGTCCCCCCGTGCCCAGCACATAGTAGGTGCTCACTAAATGCCTACGGACCAGGCGGATGACTCCCTGAAAATAGGTCTTCTCATCTTCACCGGTGCCTCTCCGCCTGCCACACCCCCCCCAAATAACGGAGCCCATCAGGGCACACCTTGAAGGAGCGGGTGATGTTAAAGCTAATAGGATTCATTCATAATCACATCGTTAAGTAAAATTTATGTTTGGTGGAATTAGCTGGGCTCCCCGAGGGCAGCGTCATAAACCAGAGAGATGCTTGGTTTCAAAGTCCCGTCTCCCCGTTTAAAAGAGTTTGTCATTCTTTTGTGGCGGTGGTTAAGAGCTCCTGGAGGCCCACGGATGCTTATTTACTGATCCACAGATGACGGATGGTGTATCCCTGCTTTGTTTGGAAGGGAAAACTTGAACAGCTTGTCTGCACCTCTCCACTCGGACATTAAATCAACATGGCTCTATTAGTGGCCTGGGATGCCAGCTGAGCTGTCTCTGAGCCTGTCACCGTGATGTCTTCATCTGTAACCAGAGCAGACGTGAGCTCCTGGCAGCTTCGCGAGGTGACAACAAATCCAATTAGCTCCTCTCCACGGCTCCGCAGTACCACCGCGAAACGGCCTGACGGGGAGGGCGGCAGCGGTACCCGGCACAGTGGGACGTGGCGTTCGCGGGGAAGGAGAGGGAGGGGCTGGGAGCGGGAGAGGAAGGGGAGGGAACAAAGGGACTGAGCTTAATTGTTGGAGTGACTTTCTGCGTGAGTGGAGAGACCTGTGCCAGAGCGGCCTGAACCGGGCCAGCCCCCCTGGGGTCTCGGATGGCTGATGAGGCCGCCAGAAGCCCAGCGGATTGGAGTCAACCCCCCCTTTGAAAGCGTGCTCGACTTGGATGCTGGCTGTCTTGGGGGACGAGTCAGCATCCCATCCCCTTCCTCCTCTGCCTCCTGCCCTGCCTCTCTCCTCTGCTTGCTCCACGCACTGTCCAGAAAATAACAGGACTTTTGGTGCGGATGGGAGGGGAACGTGGGGTACCACTCTTGGTTGAGGAGGGGCCCAGAAGACAGGTCTCGCGGAAGTGATGGAGGTGGAGGTGGGTGCGTGATGAGGGTGCAGGGTAGTGACAGAGCAAAGAGAGAAGGTGCTAGAAGGAAGCATGGGGGGATGAGGTCACATCCCGTGGGCGTGGAGGAGGTGATGCCAGACACAGATCCTTGGCGGCTTGTTCAGTGTGGAGGGCATGGAGGGAAAAGAAAAAGGAAGAAGAAAAAGAACAACCTTCTGCAAAAGCCCAACTCGAGTTAGCTCGCCAGGCTGAGAGTTCACCAAAGTTTCCGAATTCCTGGGAGGAACGCAACGCGAACAGTGTCTCGGGTCATTTATTTCTTAATGACGACTCCCCTGCAAGCTCTGGATGCTTCCAGCCATCCGCCAGGCCCGGATGCACTTTCTGGAGTCAGGAGTTCTCTGAGCTCCAAGAATAGCCAGAAATGGAGGGTGGTGGGGACTGGGATGGTATGGAAGGGGACCCTTGAGATCTCGGGAGGAATGGGGCCAAGAAAAGGGGGAAGGAAGGGAGGGAGGGAGAAGGCCTCTGAACATGGCTGTCGATGAGACCTAGATGGACAAAGATGTCTGGTCTGCATGCCTCCCCCACCCATGGTAAAAGGCTTGAGTGACGGGAGGCAGGAGGGCTGATGGAGTCAGACCCCCCTTCTGAGCTCGCCCACAAGCTGAGCTGCCTCACAGACTGTCCCACACTCTCTGTGCTTCTGGTTTGCATGTGAACAAGAGTGAAGAAGGGCAGCGCCCTTCCACGAGGGAACCGTAGGGAGGGGCACCGGACGGGTACTCGGGTGGTTTTCTTTTTTTTCTTCCCCGATTTGGCCTTATCTTCCTGGTTCTTTGAGGATTGCCAAGATGGAGAAACAGGTCCCTGCCTGCAGAAGCCAGGCCTCGGGAATGCCTTCAGAGTTTCAACCACATGAAATGGGCCAGAGCCACTTCCAGGGAAGGGCTCGGAGCATGGACCCCTTCCAGGGAGAGGCGGCAAGCAGGAATCTGCAGTCGTCGCCTGCCGGAGCCAGCAGGAATGGAATCAGTGACTAATGGCTGGCAGCGTGGGGGTCTCTGCTGCCAGTTTGCTGGTGGGGCTGGCGCTTCTTGCCATAACCTGGGCCCATCTACCTGCAGGGGGCTGGCAGCGGCAGGGCCCTCAGGCGAGTGATGTAACGGGGAGAGGCAGGGAAGCGGGGGGCAGGGGCCGGGATGCGGCTTCGGGGTCCTTCTTTCGGGAGCAGGTTGTTGTGAATGTACATGATCACAGTCCAGCTCATTCCGGATTAATTGGGCAGGATATAGAGGCATCTGGCTGCAGTGTAGAGCGACCCAAGCCTCCGCGTGTGCTGGGGCACTGGACGGCTTTTGGAACCGGCCCAGTGCTGCCAGGCACAATTATTTTCAGCAATGTCTTCCTGCCACCAAAACTTAGGACTGTGGACTTTGGCATGAGAGCTAAGTGCCGATTTGCAAGCTCACAAATTGACACGATCCTTGATGCAAGATGTTGTGCCGGGGCCGAATGGCAGAGAGATGCACCCCCACCCACTGCCACATGGTAGTTGAGCAGGTCTGGGACGTGTGTGTGTGTGTGTGTGTGTGTGTGATGCGGGTGAGAGTGAGGCTAGGGGAGCCAGGGACAAGCTCACAAAGGGTCTTAGAGGCCAACTGGAGAGTTTGGACATCAGCCTGTGCCCTTGAGAAGGCCATCACTCGTCTCACCCCACAGTCCCTCCAAAAAGCCTTCCCAGGCCCCAAAGACCCCGTCAAGGGGCCCCGAGTGCTCCCACCTGTGCCATTTGCTATGTCTCCCGTAGTCTGTAATTTGTATGGCGGTCCATTCTTTCCTTGCTGTTGCCATTTGGCTTTGAGCTTCTTGAAAGAAAAGTGATGTTTGTTCGTATCCATTCCCCAGCACCCAGCTCAGGGCAGGTGCATTAGACCCCACGTCGATCTTGGTGGAATGGTCCACCCTCGATGGGGGAAGTGCCGCCAGGTGGGCAGCCACAAGAGGGACCTAGACTCAGGAAACCACAAGGATAAAGCTTCAGTGGTCCAGGTGAGAGGTGAGGAGGCTTGAGCTTGAGAAGAAGAGATGGAGAGGAGGTGATGTAAGAGAAAGATGCTGAGGAAGTTGAATGAGCGAGATCTGGTTACTCTTGCCACCTGAGGCACCAGAAAGAAGGGGTTCAGGATGACCCTGCTTCTCCATTTTGGGTGGGGGGTGGCGGGCACACAGGCAAGGGAGGAGCCGGCATCTGGGAGTGAGGAGAGTTCAGCTGTGGGTGAACGGAGGCTGCAGGGGTGTCTGAGGGACACCCAGGTGGAACAGTCCCATCGGCTCCACAGGTCTGGGCCTCTGGGGGGTACCTGGGTTGAAGCTGTATGGGTCATCAGCCGTGGCCGTGGAGGTGTGTGGCCGAGAACACCCAGGGAGTGTCTGAGAGTTGAGATGGGAAGAGAGTGATGGGGAGGGAAGCAGTTGAGAGCTGGGAAGAGATGCCCACGTGGAGTCTGAGGAGGGGGAGCCGGAAAGCTGCAGGAAGCACAGGAGTGATGGTGACTCAGGACCAATAAGCAGAGGGTTCAGGCTGGGGGAGGGGACGTTGCTGCTGTCGTTCGGTCCCTAAATCACACCTAACTCTTTGCGACCCCGTGGACTGCAGCACGCCAGGCCTCCCTGTCCATCACCAACTCCCGGAGCTTGCTCAAACTCATGGCCATCGAGTCAGTGATGCCATCCAACCATCTCATCCTCTGTCGCCCCCTTCTGCTCCCGCCTTCAATCTTTCCCAGCATCAGGGTCTTTTCCGATGAGTCGGCTCTTCACATCAGATGGCCAAAGTATTAGAGCTTCAGCTTCAGCGTCAGTCCTTCCAATGAGTATTCAGGGTTGATTTCCTTTGGGATTGACTGAACATAGAGGCTTTTGTGCAAGCGCTCCCTGGAGACCTGGCTGGGAGCCCTGTGGGTGGGGGCTGGGGTGGGCACCTCTTGGGTCCCAATGTGCGGCCACTTAGGACCACTGATCGGGAGCCATGGCTATAGCAGTGAGGGCTCCAGAGCCCACTAGGGGGAAGAGAAGAGGCCTGGCAGTGGCTTTTCCTGGGACCCCTTCTGTCCCAAGGGCTGGATGGAAGAGCTGGGTCCAAATCCTGGCTCTCCCACCTGCTGGCTGGAACCCTGGAGGTGCCTTGTAATCTCTCTGAGTGTCAATTTCCCTTCAGTTGGGAGTTCAGTGTGGACTAAGTGGGATGATGCCCAGAGGCACAGTGCCACTGATGTGGCCTCTTACTGCTCCTCAGAACAGAGGAGGTCCTTGTCCCTCCAACTTTCAAAATGAGAACCTGAGGCTCCGAGAGGTTAAGTGATGGGTCCACAGACACACTCAGGAAGGGGCGGCCTGACTCAGGGGCCCAGCAATGAATCACGTAAAGAATCCCTTCTGGGGTCTTTGCCCTGCTGCTGCTCACAGTTGAATATGGAATCAGCGAGGAAGTGAGAGGGAACATAGTTAATATCATTCCAGGGAGTGCTGGGGTGTTGCATGGGGTCAGACAGAAATCCTTCTCCCCATGGGCTCTGGATGCCTTTGGGTATTGCAGATAGAATCTCACAGTCTGCTCTGCCTGAGGGGGCCTTCTTGGTGTGACCATAGCCTCAGGGATCCCACCTGCTTCTGAAGACTTAAGCCCCACCAAAGCCATCTCTCTCCCTGGAGGTTTGTTTCAAGTGGCCGATGAAACTCCAATACTTTGGCCACCTGATGCGAAGAACTGACTCATTGGAAAAGACCCTGATGCTGGGAAAGATTGAAGGCAGGAGGAGAAGGGGACGACAGAGGATGAGATGGTTGGATGGCACCACCAACTCGATGGACATGAGTTTGAGTAAGTTCCAGGAGTTGGTGATGGACAGGAAAGCCTGGCGTACTGTAATCCATGAGGTCACAAGGACTTGGACACGAATGAGTGACTGAACCGAACTGATGTCACCTCATCTTTCCATTCTCCCACACGTCCCTTCCCCTCTTCCTTCATGATGCTCAGTCACTTCAGTCATGTCTGACTCTTTGGGACCCCACGGACTGTAGCCTGCCCAGCTCCTCTGTCCGTGGTATTCTCCAGGCAAGAATATTGGGTTGCCATGTCCTTCTCCAGGGGATCTTCCTGACCCAGAGATCGAACCTGTGTCTCCTGCATTGCAGGCGGATTCTTTACCACTGAGGGGGGAAGCCTTTCAGGAACCAGCACTTAATTACTCCTCCCTCGTTCTTTCCTTCTATGTGGTGGGGCTGGGGAAGAAACCTAGGTGGGTCACCTGGTGCAGTGGAAGAGACCAAAAGCCCACCTGTCGCCAGATGCATGTTCAGAGCCTTGGAAGGTGGAGGTGTGTGCAGCATGCTGGGGAGCATGGAGAAAGAGGAGGGTTCATGGACTCGGCCTTATAGTCCCTAGGTGAGGGCACAGTGCAGGCAGCAAACGCACCCCGAGTGAGAGTGTGGAGGGGCCCGTACCTGGTCTGTGTCTGGGGAGCAGAGAGCAGTTAGGACAGGATGGCTCCATC